GCCGTCGTGGGAAGGTGCTGCTGTTGTTGCTGCTGCCGTTCGGGGCAGGGCTCTGCTGGTATCGCTGCTGCTGCTGCTGGGGGTGACGATGCTGGCGTAGCAGTTGCTGCTGTTTCTGTTGCTGCTGATGCTGCTGCTTTGGCTGCTGCGGTTGCACTGGCTGCTGTTGCTGCTGCTGCTGCTGCTGCTGCTGCTGCAGGCTTTCATCTCCTCCGTTTGACCCGTCTGAGTGGGAACTTGCCTTCGGTCGTTCAGCGCCTCGGCATTTGCTGCAGCAGGATAGGCACCGCAGCGTTCCAGCAGCAGCATCTGCAGCAGCAGCAGCAGCAGCAGCAGATGCAGGTTACTCTATGTGGGCAGACACCCCATGGTACCTGTACATACACCACCACCCCGAGCTGCTGCCGGGTCTGCTGACGCCGACTCCGCTGCCTCCTTCGATCACTCCCAGTGCGCCTTCATCTGCAGCAGCAGAAGCTGCTGCTGCTGCTGCTGCTGCTGCTGCTGCAGCCCAGCGATCCAGGCATCAGCAACAGCTGCGTCTAGGAGCAGCAGCTGAAAGGGTTCCCCCCAAATGGAGAACACCTCCGAAGCCTGATAAGGAGCAGCAGCAGCTGCTGCAGTTGCTGCTGGAGGGATCTTCGCATCCTCAGCAGCAGCAACAGCAGCAGCAGCAGCAGCAAGAAGAGCAGCGGCAGCAGCAAACTCGTGCTGCTGCTGCGTGGAATACTGCTTCAGCTAGTCGCCTATGGGCCCGTCACCCCCGCAGTGTCTCCTCAGCTAACTCTCCCTGGCGCCGCTTTGCTGCGTTGACGCCCAGCAGCAGCAGCAGCAGCAGCAGCAGCAGGAGTGTAGTAGCAGGCAGCGCCGCGTTGCCTTCTGCTCAGCAGCAGCAGCAGCAGCAGCAGCGACAACAGCAGCAGCTGGCTGTGCGCTGCCGCTGGCTAGGACTTTCGGGTGTTTCGTGCTGCAGGGGTTGGGTGGCGGTGTTGGGGCGGGACGGCCGTCTCTGCTGCTTCGATGCACTTGAGGGTCGTCTGCTGCAGCAGCAGCAGCAGCAGCAACAGCAGCAACAGCAGCAGCAGGTGACATCTCCCGAGGGAGCTGCAGCAGGTGCTGCAGCAGCAGCAGCAGCTTGTCAGCCTATATCCTGCTACTCTACAGCCATACACCGCAGAGTCGCAGACAGCGCGCTGAGCAGCGCAACACATTTGGGTTCTTCTCGGGTTGTAGCATTGGGGTGTACAGACGGCAGCATCTATTTGCAGCAGTTGCCGCAGCGGGACCTTGAATCCACAACCATCACCAGCAGCAACACCAGCAGCAGCAGCAGCAGCAGCAGCAGCAGCAGCAGCAAGGGTGTGTGTTTATATGCGTTTTCTTCTGCTGGTGTTCGTAAGGAAAAGCAACGTGTTGTGGGTCACCTCGACTCTGTATTAAGTTTATGTTATAATGGGAGTGAAGGCTGTCTCATATCAGGAGCAGCAGATGCAACCGTCAGGGTTTGGGGTGTATCTCCAGCTGCTTTGCTGCTGCAGCGGCTCTTCGATGAGCCTCTATCAGAGGTAACAGCAGCAGCAGCAAGCGGCTCGCTAGTTCTAGCGGGTACTGCTGCTGGGGATCTGCTGCTGTGGGACCTGCGCTGCTCCTCCCCGTTTGTATGGGGGGCCCCCCATGGGGGCCCCCATGAACACAGGGGCCCCATAAGAGCTTGTGGGTTCGCTGATGGAGGCAGAATCACAGCTCTTGTACATACACCGCAAGCTGCTGCAGCACTACGCAGAGAGGAGCAGCAGCAGCTGCAACAAATTGGGGTGGAGAGGCCGTGTACAGCCGAGCTGCAACAGAATACAGCCCGAGGCGGCAGCACAACAGCAGCAGATGCAGCAGCAACAGCAGCAGCAGCAGCAGCAGATATACCTGGTGCACCTGATGCAGCTTTTCCAATTCAAGTGTGGGAGCTGCGAGGCAGCAGCAGAATACCCCCCCGCAGCCAGGCTGGGGTGTATGTACACGGTGGCTCCCCGTCAGCTGTTGTTACATGCGGGGTCCTCGATGATAGCGGGCTTGCGCTGCTAGCATTCATAGAATCTCCTGCTGCATCAGCTGCTGCTGCTGGTGCATCTGCTGCTGCTGCTGCTGCTGCTGCTGCTGGTACTGGTGGCGGCGTATATAGGGCTGGGTTACGGCTGGTGGATTGCCTCAAGAAAGAGGAGATATGGGGGGCCCCCCTACGAGCAGTAGGGGCCCCCCGCTACATTTCTGTGTGGCCTGGTGCTGCTGCAGCAAGTGAAGGATTGCCTCTTGAGGGTTCGAGTGCTGGCAGCTGGGGCCCCACAGTTGTTGCTGTCGGCGAGGCAGCGGGGGCTGTGGAGGTCCTTTGGGTGTAACGCCATGCTGCATGCATGCAGCCCCGCCTTCATGCAGCATGCTGCTGCATGCAGCCCACAGCGTAAACATAAGGCTTCATAAGAAAAGCAAATGTATACATATACAGAGGCGCTCACAGAACACTGACATGAGGCAGACTTGAGCAAAAAGTGAAAGCTTCTACTTAGCCATCCGTACAGCAGCGAGCTACAGAGTTACCTAGCTAGCTAACTAGCTAGCTAGCTAGCTGGCTAGCTGGTTGCGTTTAGGAGGCATCGTTAGCTGAATGTCATGCAGGGCCATATGTCCTTCTCACCACCACTGCTAAGGGATACGACTCTCTCCTCATAGCACTGAGGGGGCGGTATGCTAGCTAGTTCGCCTAGGT